GGGATGTGTAGATCAAGTGTTTACATTGAAGCATATTTGTTAACAGTATTTAGATAAAGGTAGGGAAGTTTTTATTGCATTTACGGATTTAGAAAAGGCATATGACAGAGTGGACAGAGGAGCAATGTGGCAGATGTTGCAAGTATATGGAATAGGTGGTAAGTTACTAAATGCTGTTAAGAGCTTTTATGAGGATAGTGAGGCTCAGGTTAGGGTGTGTAGAAGAGAGGGAGAATACTTCCCGGTAAAAGTAGGTCTTAGACAGGGATGTGTAATGTCATCATGGTTGTTTAATATATTTATAGTTGGGGTTGTAAAAGAAGTAAAAGCTAGGGTGTTCGAGAGAGGGGTGGGATTAAATTATGGGGAATCAAATTCAAAATGGGAATTGACACAGTTACTTTTTGCTGATGATACTGTGCTTATGGGAGATTCTAAAGAAAAATTGCGAAGGTTAGTGGATCAGTTTGAGAATGTGTGTAAAGGTAGAAAGTTGAAAGTGAACATAGAAAAGAGTAAGGTGATGAGGGTATGAAATGATTTAGATAAAGAAAAGCTGGATATCAAATTGGGGAGGAGGAGTATGGAAGAAGTGAATGTTTTCAGATACCTGGGAGTTGACGTGTAGGCGGATGGATTTATGATGGATGAGGTTAATCATAAAATTGATCAGGGAAAAAAGGTGAGTGGTGCGTTGAGGTATATGTGGAGTCAAAAAACGTTATCTATGGAGGCAAAGAAGGGAATGTATGAAAGTATAGTAGTACCAACACTCTTATATGGATGTGAAGCTTGGGTGGTAAATGCAGCAGCGAGGAGATGGTTGGAGGCAGTGGAGATGTCCTGTCTAAGGGCAATGTGTGGTGTAAATATTATGCAGAAAATTCGGATTTTGGAAATTAGGAAAAGGTGTGGAGTTAATAAAAGCATTAGTCAGAGGGCAGAAGAGGGGTTGTTGAGTTGGTTTGGTCATTTAGAGAGAATGGATCAAAGTAGAATGACATAGAAAGCATATAAATCTATAGGGGAAGGAAGGCGGGGTAGGGGTCGTCCTCAAAAGGGTTGGAGAGAGGGGCTAAAGGAGGTTTTGTGGGCGAGGGGCTTGGACTTCCAGCAAGCGTGCCTGAGCGTGTTAGATAGGAGTGAATGGAGACGAATGGTACTTGGGACCTGACGATCTGTTGGAGTGTGAGCAGGGTAACATTTACTGAAGGGATTCAGGGAAACCAGTTATTTTGATATAGTCAGACTTGAGTCCTGGAAATGGGAAGTACAATGCCTGCACTTTAGGGGAGGGGTTTGGGATGTTGGCAGTTTGGAGGGATATGTTGTGTATCTTTATATGTATATGCTTCTAAACTGTTGTATTCTGAGCACCTCTGCAAAAACAGTGATAATGTGTGAATGTGGAGAAAGTGTTGAATGATGATGAAAGTATTTTCTTTTTGGGGATTTTCTTTCTTTTTTGGGTCACACTGCCTCAGTGGGAGACGGCCGACTTGTTGAAAAAAAAATATATAGTGCTAGTATTAGCATCATGGAGTTTTTTCAGATTTTAACAATGGACAGTTCTTTGTAGAATCACCCAGCCTGGCCTTGGCTCCTTTTTGTTGGAGTGTCTCAGACCAACGTCCACTATGGGGGGAGGTACAAGTACCTCCTTGTATTCTGGGACCAACTGTCCCCAGGCCTAGCCCCATTCCTTGCCCTGCACGGGGCTCTGAGGGAGAAGCTAGGCACTTTGTGCTGCCACAAACCCTGCCCACACTGGGCTCGAAGGGTGTGGCAGCTGCATAGCAGCAGATGATGTCAGAAGGTGTAAAGGCAACAAGCACTACAGGATCCTTGTTGAGGCACACCCAGCGTCAGACATAATGTCTGAGTGCTGGGGAAGCTCAAGAATGCCCCTTGTTGTGAGTGTTGCTGCTGCTAGTTCACTTCCGTTGCACTCTCCTGGACAGTTCTGTAATCAACTGACTTGGTCTGTTTCTAAATGGCTTGACCCAGGGGATTTTGTTCCAGGTCTCATATTGAGAATTTACTGCATTTGCATTATTTTCATCACTATTTTTATTTTTTTTATTATCACACTGGCCGATTCCCACCAAGGCAGGGTGGCCCGAAAAAGAAAAACTTTCACCATCATTCACTCCATCACTGTCTTGCCAGAAGGGTGCTTTACACTACAGTTTTTAAACTGCAACATTAACACCCCTCCTTCAGAGTGCAGGCACTGTACTTCCCATCTCCAGGACTCAAGTCCGGCCTGCCGGTTTCCCTGAATCCCTTCATAAATGTTACTTTGCTCACACTCCAACAGCACGTCAAGTATTAAAAACCATTTGTCTCCATTCACTCCTATCAAACACGCTCACGCATGCCTGCTGGAAGTCCAAGCCCCTCGCACACAAAACCTCCTTTACCCCCTCCCTCCAACCTTTCCTAGGCCGACCCCTACCCCGCCTTCCTTCCACTACAGACTGATACACTCTTGAAGTCATTCTGTTTCGCTCCATTCTCTCTACATGTCCGAACCGCCTCAACAACCCTTCCTCAGCCCTGTGGACAACAGTTTTGGTAATCCCGCACCTCCTCCTAACTTCCAAACTACGAATTCTCTGCATTATATTCACACCACACATTGCCCTCAGACATGACATCTCCACTGCCTCCAGTCTTCTCCTCGCTGCAACATTCATCACCCATGCTTCACACCCATATAAGAGCGTTGGTAAAACTATATTCTCATACATTCCCCTCTTTGCCTCCAAGGACAAAGTTCTTTGTCTCCACAGACTCCTAAGTGCACCACTCACTCTTTTTCCCTCATCAATTCTATGATTCACCTCATCTTTTATAGACCCATCTGCTGACACGTCCACTCCCAAATATCTGAATACGTTCACCTCCTCCATACTCTCTCCCTCCAATCTGATATTCAATCTTTCATCACCTAATCTTTTTGTTATCCTCATAACCTTACTCTTTCCTGTATTCACCTTTAATTTTCTTCTTTTGCACACCCTACCAAATTCATCCACCAATCTTTGCAACTTCTCTTCAGAATCTCCCAAGAGCACAGTGTCATCAGCAAAGAGCAGCTGTGACAACTCCCACTTTGTGTGTGATTCTTTATCTTTTAACTCCACGCCTCATGCCAAGACCCTCGCATTTACTTCTCTTACAACCCCATCTATAAATATATTAAACAACCACGGTGACATCACACATCCTTGTCTAAGGCCACTACTCTATACTAATTCCTTTATCACAGGAACTGGATGCTCACTTTTATTTTGTCTCGACATTAGATGTATCACTTGGCATATACCATTCTATAGATAATAATTTAAATCATAACAGACTAATGCTTAATTTATATTCCGTTGTCTTATTTTTATCTTTTATCCTAGATGAAAAACATTGAAAACAAAGTATTTTAAATTTCAATCTTTATTTTTTATCGTATATCAATGTGAAGATATAACTATTTAAAAGCAAAACAAGATCCAACAGTTTTGATTTATCACTGAACTTGGTGAACTTTTGCACTGTCACTGCACACCTGAGGAAACAAGACACAACTTAAGATGACATAAAACACTGTCCTTTTAAACAAAAGCAGTAAGCAACAATTCAAACTCATTAAACCAACAACATGGGTCTTTCTGTAGATTATTTCATCACTATATGTAACCAAACAAAAATGAATTTATATCAAAAATTTTTGAGCAAGTTTACTGTCCCTTACGCCGAAATACTGACTATCATAAGCCTGGGTCTCTCTACCAGTCCTAAAATAGAAATAGTTCATATTTTTATGTACTGTTTATAATTGACTAAAGCTTGACTGTGTACACGTCGGTCACGAATGTTTGACAATAGAAAAAATATTTGAGAATTAAAGTGTCTCTAAATCTAATGTTCTCTGATTAAGTTGAGCCTAGCAAATGTGTAAGGTGATGTGTGAGTCACTATGTTAAGGTTACGAACAGTAAAAAAAATACGTACAGTATTTCAATCTAATAAGAATACAGGAGTACTGTAACACCTATTAACTAATGCTCAAGCAATGGATTCAAATTAGATTGTTTACTTTTGGCAAGAGTATTGTAGACAAAAGCAACAAACTATAGTTTTGACAGATGCACGTTTGAATGGTTGTATGAGATGGATCTGCCAGATGCACAAGTGTGAATGGTTGTGTGAAATGGATCTGCCAAGCATGGGACAGTAGGCTTACTATAGTGCCCACTAATGCTTTTCCATTAGTGCTTATTTTTATATCAGAATTAATAACTGGTCTGTCAGTAGTTGTAGAAAATTGGAATTAACAATTATAGGCAGGAGCTTCCTGGTAGCATAACCAGTAGGCCTGCCACAGAGCACTGTTCTTGTGTTCAGAAAAGGGATTACAGTTTATAGATCTCAGCTATTCAAGAATATTAATGAATAAGTCAATCACCTGCTTCTTGCCAAGACAACTGTCTTCAGAATCACAAAATCACAATGTATACTTAAACACATAAGACACTTATATTACACACAAAGTATTTGAACTAAAATTCTTTGATAATGCAATAAGACAATCACCAATTGTCTTGGGATAATGTAATGCAAGACCCCATACATAGTAAAACAAATAGTAGCCTGTTCTCATCTGTAATGTCACTTCCTGACATCTCCTCACAAGTGTAAAGAACAAGGAACTAAGTGGGCAACTTAAGAGGCTAGTGTCCCAGCCACTGCCTAACAACAAAGAGAGAGTTTGTTGCTGTCCATATTTTTTACTATACCAAAGGAAGCAATTTTTATGTTTCAAGGGTTATAAAGCCACTTTTTCTAGCACTGTGAGTTGCATTAACATATACAGTACAATGAGGACTGATAACTGGTTGCAATAATGTAATATCTAAAATAAAAATTACATTGAGAAATTTGAATTTATAGGACAGGTGGCAGTGAAAAAAAAAAGCCTTGCACGAACAGCCAGAACTTACAGGTAAGGCAGGCATAAGCAGCTTATGATCTTGCAAGTCCTTCCTCTTCAGGGCTAATCCTGCATCATCAACCCATTCCTAACTTCTTGTGAGAGTCAACCTTCAGGAGCTTGATCTGATGCAGAGCTTCAAGTTTTGAGTAGCCAAGTTCATCACAGTTATTTGCTAACAAGCACAGAAGAACCTAGTGACTGTTACAGAAGGAAAAAAATGGTGTCAAAGTAATGTTATACAATGTTCAATTATCAAGTCTTATACTGTTAATGATGACAAAGGTTTACACACAACAAGGATGCAAATTTACAACAGAAACTGGCAAATAATGATGCTTTTATTCACTGCAAATTAAAGGGAAAATGAAGGCAGAAACACTGGTAAAATAATGGAAGAGAGTATGTAGTGAATAGAGGCCAGAAGAATTGATCCCAAAATACAATGAATACAACAGGGTTTCCCCCAAAAAATCTTTTTTTTTTTTAATAAAAATCTGAAAAAATCATCTTCAATATTTTTCCTGTTTCATGGAACTATGAAGTTTTTTTTTTTTTTTTTTTTAATAATCTTATGTATGTTACATCTCTTATCTTGCTGAAGGCCTGTTCCTTCTTTTCTTTGAAAAACATCTTTCAGCACTGGTAACCATTTCAGTTTTTAATTTTTTTCTAACTTGTCCACATGTTTTTACAAGTGCAGACAACACCATTGCTGCATCTTCAAATTTTGGCTGAATGTATGTTGTTAAACAGTTCCTTCAACATGTGCAACTACACTTGGTGGGCACTTTTTAGGTATACTTGTTCCCACTTTATATAGGTACGCCTGCTTGTTAATGCAAGTAGCCAATCATGTGGCAACAGCACCATTCCTGATAGCATGCAAACATGGTCAAGAGGTTCAGTTGTTCAAACCATTTGGATTCGGGAAGAAATGTGACAAGTGACTGGAATAAATGTTGGTGCCAGAGTACCTCTAGCAGAGAATGATGTAAAAAAAACACCCAGTGAGCAGTAGTTCTGTGAGTAAAAATGCATTGCTAATGAGAGGTCAGAGGAGAATGGCCAAACTAGTTCAAGCTAACAAAGGAAACAGTAATTTAAATAACAATGCATTCAGTGTATGTAAAATATCTCTGAACACAAAACACATTGAACTTCAAGTGGATGGGCTACAGCAGCAGAAGAAGTCCACACTGGTTCTACTCCTGTCAGCTAAAAACAGGAAACTGAGGCTACAGTAGGCAAAGGCTCACCAAAAATGGACAGCTGAAGATTGGAAAAGCACCACCTGGTCTGATGAAACCACAATTTCTGCTGCAACATGCAGAAGGAAAGGTCAGCATTTGGTATACACATTTGGATGTGGTAGAATGAGAGTTTAGAAGCATGAATTTCCAGCCGTCAAATCCACAATAACTGCACGATGCTATTATGTCAACATAGACAAGAATTTAAGGTATATTTCCAGCACCCTGCTGAATCCATGCCATGAAGAATTCTGGGGGGGAAAAGTGGGCCTTACCCAGTACTAGAAGGGTGTACCTAACAGTGTCCACTGAATGTATGTGCACATTTGTGTACACCTGGAGATGACTGAAGAGGGTTTTCGGGGTCAATGCCCCCATAGCCCGGATTGAGAGAATGGTGTGTAGGAAATAAATCTTAGGTTTGATATGTTACTGAAGTACAAGTAAAGCAATATCTAGGAAAGGATTCATTGTTGGAGTTGGTAAGTGCAGATGGTGATGGTGTACCTAGGCAGATTAGAATTGTACCACGTGTCTGCAAATCTGCAAAAAGCAGCTAAAGAAAGTGAGTTTTTAGCAGTCTTCAGAGAAAGTTAAGAAAATTAAACCTGTCTCATTCATTTTAGCTCAACCACAATTGGACATTAAGAAAGAGGTCCTGAGGGAGCATGTATAGATGATAGTTTCTCTCCTTCCCTTGCACAGTCTACATCATCACTGAGCAACAAGATTCAGCCAAGTGATTCTTATAGTCCTGCGATAAGACACGTTTGTGCAGGAAGTGAATCTGACTTAAAAATAGTCAACTAAAAAACTATTATAAATAAATTACTTGTGTAAAGCCTTCAGAGCTTCCTGGAGTCCACAAGAAAGATCATCAGTCATAAGAGCTTGTGTTAGCACTTCCATGGAGTCACTGACCCCTATAGGAACACCTACATCTGAAAATTGAAGTGTAACATAATGATAAATATTTTACACATTGAAATCTGAATAATTCTACTGTTCACAGCCTGAATATAGTAAGCACTAGATTTGATAAACCACAGAACGGGTGGATTTTGAATCCATGGGGAGCGAGTTATGAGCTCAAACCCCACCTGTTCCCGGTTTGTTTACAATTGTGGTTTTACAATTTTGTGGGACTGGATTTAAATGGATTAATAGGGGGAGTACGTGGCCATAAATGACACTTGTGGTGAATAGAGACGAGAATTTTGAAATACAGTGGAACCTCGGTTGTCGAGAACCTCGGTTGTCGAACGGACTAGCTGACAAACAAATCGGTTTTCGAACAAGGAATTCGGTTCTTGTTTTCATACGTGGTCTTGATTGTCAACCGACAATGCTTGGATCACGATAATCACCAGAGTCCACAGAATGGGTTTCAGTCAGTATAGTGACTAACATGGGTGCAGTAAACATCTCTTGAACTCTTTCTTGCTGTGTATCTTGTAAAGGTAATGAAACCAAAAGTATGAACTTTGATGGAAAACTTACTGAATTACGCTATAGTGAAGTTAGCAGTCTCAGCAACATTTACGCATCAGCAATTTCACCCACTTTGAGCCCTATTTTGGGCCAATTCCATTGTTCCAGTCAATCAAACTCATAGCTATTTTGCTAGAACTCCTTTATTCTATCGAATGAGTACAAGAAACTGCCCATTTACTTATTTCAAACTACCCAATAAAGTGATCTGAAATTACTAATTTGGCCAATTTCACACAAAATTCAAGAAAGGCCAATTTCAAAATAGGGTCCAGCATAAACAATGTAGACATTCCTGACACTAAAATAACATTGTATCTGTTCATTAGTCAAGTCTCCAGGCCCCTGTTATATTATACTTGCTTTTCATTTTGAATTTCTATTGACACAAAAAATAGAAGATTTACTGTTATTCAAATTAATGCATAATTGTAATAATTGTATAAATAATATCAGCACATTTGTGAATGCATATTAGACCCACCAGTTGATGTGTATTGGACATGTGACAAGATTTGTTTATTCATGAACATTAGCAATAATCAAATATTTCTGCTACTTTGGGCTCAATTTCAAGCTGCTTTTAGTCTTTAAATCAATGAAAATCATCTATATTTCTGCAATATATCTTTCATTCTATCAAATGAGACCAAGAAAATGAGAATACAACCATAAATACCATATAAAAATACACTGCAAATTCGGTTATAAACCAAAAACATGGTCAGAGTTTTTTCTCATTATGCACTGTGTGCTGCAGGATTTTTTATTATAATGTGCACGCGAACCATGCAGACCCATTCTCTCACATGTAGGCCTACCAGCTTTCTCCCTCAAGATTTGAAGCCGCTAGAATTTTGCCATTAGCTCTCCGTTGACAGGTAAGAGGCAGTTAAATTTTCACTTACTGCAAAGTATTTCAGTTAAATTTTCCTTTACTGTACAGTAATTCAGTTAGATTTTCATTTAGTATTCAATTTTTACAGTTTCCATGCACTGTATAATTTTATACATTGTTTTATATAGTAGTTAGTATACAGCATTATTATTAATAAATTATAATACTGACATTTTTGGTCTGGAATAGATTAATTCTCTTTATTTTTTATGGGAAAAATTGGTTTGGTTGTTGAACCGACATCTGGAACAAATTAAGTTCTACAACCGAGGTTCCATTGTAATGATAACTAACAATTTTGTAACCAAGTAACTTTGTCCATTCCTCCAAATCAAATAACTCCACAGATTTTGTCCCATGTTTCAGAAGTACTTAGTGTACTGTATCACACTTTGAATCAATGTAATATTGTACTGTAATATCAATTCTCTTCTACTTATGAATATTATAACTACTATAATCTATATAAAGCAGCTAACTGGAATGTCATGTTTTTGACAAAAACAAAACAAAATAGTGCCAACTTTTTATATTTATTGTGCATTACCATTATCTTTCAATAAAAAGTAATACCATCAATCCTGCATGAAGACTTGTCAAATATAGGGTGAAGTTCAGTGGTTTTCACTTGCAAAGTACAAATGAACAATTAAGATATGAGAAAATTTCATACAAGTGCACAAGGTATCTACTATGTATATAATTATTTAGGAAGGCCTCTCAGTTATTGAGGCTACTCAAGCATTTATTTTTTCACTATTAATATTTGGAGGAAAACTATAAACAGCCTATTTATAATTTAGTTTCATGTTCAACAATGATGCCCCATAAGTTTAGAGGAACAAACTTCACAAATATCAAGTCACAAGAAATCTTTCATAGCAGCTTATATTAACTAAACGCTTAAAAATACAAAAAAAGTATCCTAGAATAAACAAATTACAATCATCTCAGCTAGCCACATCAGACATGGTGAATTACAGGATGGCCTGCTGTTCAAAAAGTTATTTCTTCAAACAAGCTCATGAATTGTTTTTAATGACTGACAAGGCTTCTGAATTAAATATTACGTGCATTTCATTAAAGGCAAAAAAAAAAAAAAAAAAAAAATTACATTTTTCTGTAAGGACACCAGCAATACAAGTATTTTATTAAGAATAACATTTCATTTGGAGACTAAGCTTCAAGTCTAGAGTAATGAGAAAGTGAGTGTATAGGTAGAGCAAGGACAAAAGAAGAGATGCAGGTAATGTTTCAGGTTAGGTATCATAGTTCACCTAGTAGTATTTGAGCTCAATATCTAACCAGATGACAACTACCTGCTTCTCTCCTCTGAGATGTACAACCCATCTCTAGATCCAAACCAATGCGGTGCTGACGAAAATCACAATGGTGAACACAGACTTTATGCAGATATGGCAAGGAAACTTGTTCACCATCATTCATTAAGCTGCTGTCTTGCTAAAAGTATGCTGACATCACTCTCAGGTTGTCCTCTGAGAAGCACTGCCAACTGGCCAACTGGCTTTCCTGAATCGCTTCATGTTACCTTGTTCACACTCAATCAGCACATCCATTAAAATCTGTCACCATTCACTCCTATTTAACATATTAACATGCCTGCTGGATGCTCAAGCACTTAAAACTTAAAATTATGCACCTATTCCAAGCATATACTTTATATAAGTGTTACAATGATGGATTCAAGATTTAATTATTTCAGCTTGCTTGTAACTCAATTGAGAGCAGCCTCAGCTCACAACTGAGAGACTGGATAAGTGGAAATATTGAGCATGTTACCTTACATCTGTTGCCTCGTTCCCCTAACAGCAAGTACCAGGGTGTTACCTTGACTGTTGTGTGGTCTCATCCTGAGAGAGGATTAAAGCACCTCAATGTAAATAAGCCAGATAGTGACTGCTGGGTTATCCTGGATTAATAACTCTATGGGTTAATAATCTGAATAAAATCTTCAACCTGCAAAATCCCACAATTATGCATAGCATTTCTACAGACACGAACAAAAAGTAAAACTAATACTAAAGACAATAATCTGCATATACTGCACAATACCGCAACTGCACCAAGTGAGGGTAGTTGCACCACAACTTCCAAGTGCCCATTACAGGAGTAACTTCCAAAATATGTACTACTTTTAAAAGTGAATACAGGAAAGAGTAAGGTTATGAGGATAACAAAAAGATTAGGTGATGAAAGATTGGATATCAGATTGGAGGGAGAGAGTATGGAGGACGTGAATGTATTCAGATATTTGGCAGTGGACGTGTCAGCGGATGGGTCTATGAAAATATGGCAATTTCAAAATAAGGTCCAGAATGAACAATGCAGACATTCCTGGCTCAAAAATAACATTTTCTTTGTTCATCAGTCATGTCTCCAGGCCCTTCTGATATTACTCTTGCTTTCTATTTTGAATTTTTATTCAAGCAAAAAATAGAAGACTTACTATTATGCAGACTACTGCAATACTGTAATAATTGTATAAATAACATCAACCCATTCATGACTGCATATTAGAATGGTTAGTTGGACATTTATTTGACAATGACATCATTTGTTTACTTTTGAACATTGGCAAAAATCAAACATTTCCCCTACGTTGAGCTCCATTTCCAGGTTCTTTTTATAGTAAAATCAATCAATATGTTTTCCATTCTATCAAATGAGACCAAGAAAACGAGAATACAACCATAAGTACTATACGAAAATAGACCACAAAGTTGGCATTTTAATTAAAAAAACGGTTGGAGTTTTTTTTTCTCATTATGCACTGCGTGCTCCAGGATTTTTTTTTATATGGTGCACACTGACCACACAGACCCATTCTCTCACATGTGGGCCTACCAGCTTTCTCCTGCTTGATTTGAAGCCGCTAGAATTTATGAGTATATATACGTCAAACACGGTACCTCGTAAGACGTAAATATACGGCCGCGACAGTCAAAGGGTTAAGTGGGCTAATCTTGTCCCTAATCTTACTTCTGTATACCTGGAAGAACCCTTTTGGGTTAATCTTTGAATCCCTTGCGACTTTAGCCTCATAATCCCTTTTTGCTTTTCTTATTCCTTTCTTTACTTCTCTCTTTAATTGAATATATTGATTTCTTAATTGCCCATCCCCTGTTTTGATACGCCTATATATGCCTCTCTTTTGACCAATGAGATGTTTTAATCTATTGTTCATCCATTTGGGATCATTTTTGTTAGATCTAATTTCCCTACTCGGAACAAAAGTTGTCTGGGCAGCTAGAACTATGCTCTGAAAAACGTCATATTGGCAACCAAGATCACCTACCTGACCCATAGTCAGGACATCCCAATTTAGCCCACCCAGGTAATTTTTCAGTCCCATGAAGTCGGCCAAGCGAAAATCTGGGACAGAGATTTGATTGCAGTTATCTGGGTAATTCCATGATATATTAAAACTAAGTGATTTGTGATCACTTTCCCCAAGCTCATCATTAACCTCAAGATTATTAATTAGTGAATCTTTGTTGGCAAGAACCAAGTCAAGCATATTGTTTCCTCTAGTTGGTTCTGTCACAACCTGTTCTAAAAAGCAATCCTGAACCGTATCAAGAAAGTCACTAGACTCAAGATTTCCAGTCATATTGTTCCAATCAATTTGTCTAAAGTTAAAATCTCCCATTATCACAACATTTTCATATCTAGATGCCTTATGAATTTCATCCCATAACAGCTTACTGCCCTCCCTATCAAGGTTTGGGGGCCTATAAATCACACCCAAAATTAATTTGTCATGTCCCTCGAGAAACTGTAGCCAAACAGATTGTGTGTTCGATGTTTCTAATCTTATATCATGTCTAAGACAACAATTTAAATTTTCTCTGACATACATGGCCACACCACCACCCTTCCTGCTGACCCTATCAGTGTGGAATAGTTTATAACCCTGTATGTTGCATTCAGAAGGCATTTCTCTATCTTTCAGGTTGAACCAGGTCTCTGTTATACCAATAATATCTATATTACCTACACTTGCAAGTAATCTTAGCTCATCTATCTTTTTTCTTCGACTCCTACTATTTGTATAGTAAACCTTAAGGGAGCTAGTCACTCGTTGCCCTCTACTATCCCTCTGTTTGTTGATCAATTGATTTGCCATTACTAGCAACTTTATTTTGAATATTGTCTTTTAAACATATCCCTGAGGTATCCCAGTAATAACTGCTGTTTTTAACCCTAATGCTGCAGCCTGATTGTTTCCCACAAACACCCATGCCTCTATAATCTATCAGTTTAAATTCCTAGACAAGTCATCAATTACCCTCTCAATTGAATTGGCTAATGCAACCACTCCATCCCCAGAGAGATGAACCCCATCCCTTGCATACATATCATGTTTGCCAAAGAATAGGTCCCAGTTATCAATGAATGGGATTGCAAGTTCCTTGCAGTACCTGTCTAGCCAGCAATTTATACCAATTGCCCTAGACATCCATTCATTGCCCACTCCTTTTCTAGGCAAGATGCTACATACGACTGGGATCCCTCCCTTAGACCTAACTACTTCTGATTTTCTTGAGGATAGACAAGGCTACTCCCTTCACCCCTTGTCTGTCTTATGGGTTTTTAATAGGTCTGATTCAACTATTTTGACACCATAAACCATGACCAATCATTCATGATTATATTTTATCTGAGAAATAGAGTAAATCTTCTATTTTGTGTGATTATGAATTCAAAATGGAAGTCAAGTTTAACAGAAAGGCCTAGGGACATGATTTATAAAAAGAGGAAATGTTTTCTGACAGGAATGTATAGTTTATTTTGGATTTTTTTAAATTTTTATTTTTTTAATTTTGTGTAAAACTGGCCAAATTACTGACTTCAATGTAATGTATAAGGTAGATGAAATAACTGAATGAGCAATTTCTTGTGTTTAATTGACAGAGTGGTAGGTAAACAAGTGAAACAGCTAAGAATCTGGTTGACTGGAGAAATGGAATTGGCTTAACCCTTTTACTGTCAAGAGCCCTGATCATAAACTTGCTCTCAATGTAAAAAAATTAAAAATTAATTGCAGGTGCAATCACTAAAAGGGCTGTGATAATATGAAATGTTCTGATTGTATGCTTGGAAGCGACCGCGGTGGCTGGCTGGCTTGTAAACACTGGCCAGAAGTGGACGCGTCTCAGACGGAACGAATAGTGTTGGTCGAGTTTTTTAGCGCAAGTCGAGGCAAAATTTTTGCGTTAAAATGTATCGCTGGTCGGATTTATCGTTAATCAATGCCATTGTTGGTCAAGGGTCCACTGTAACCATAAAAATAATAAATAATCACTCTGGAGCAGTTTAAATGTCATATGTATTTTGTACAGGTTTTGTAGCTGACATTTAACACTCCAGAGTGATTGTCATTATTATTATTATTATATATAATTATTATTACACATAATTATTATTATTATTAATTTTTTTTTAACAAGTCGGCCGTCTCCCACCGAGGCAGGGTGACCCAAAAAGAAAGAAAATCAAAAGGGAACTTATGAGGTTTCTCAAATCAGTTCCTGATATTGCATGCAAGCAGCACTATATAGCCTTATTGATCAGACTGAACTGGGAGGCCTAATCTGGAGCCAACTGTCTACAGGTAAGCCCCTACAAACTAAATACAGTATGTATCATCCATTTTAGCTCAACCAGGAGGCAGTTGGAGGCAGTGGAGAAGTCCTGTCTAAGGGCAGTGTGTGGTGCAAATATTATGCAGAAAATTCAGAGTGTGGAAATTAGGAGGTGTGGAGTTAATAAAAGTATTAGTCAGAGGGCTGAAGAGGGGTTGTTGAGGTGGTTTGGTCATTCAGAAAGAATGGATCAAAGTAGAATGACATGGAGAGCATTTAAATCTGTAGGGGAAGGAAGGCGGGCTAGGGGCCGTCCTCGAAAAGGTTGGAAGGAAGGGGTAAGGGAGGTTTTGTGGGCGAGGGGCTTGGACTCCCAGCAGGCATGCGTGAGCGTGTTCTATAGGAGTGAATGGAGACGAATGGTATTTGGGACCTGACGATCTGTTGGAGTGTGAGCAGGGTAATATTGAGTGAAGGGATTCAGGGAAACCGGTTATTTTTATATAGCCGGACTTGAGTCCTGGAAATGGGAAGTACAATGCCTGTACTCTAAAGGAGGGGTTCGGGATATTGGCAGTTTGGAGGGGTATACATATATACTTCTAAACTGTTGTATTCTGGGCACCTCTGCAAAAACAGTAATTATGTGTGAGTGAGGTGAAAGAGTTGAATGATGATGAAAGTATTTTCTTTTTGGGGATTTTCTTTCTTTTTTGGGTCACCCTGCCTCGGTGGGAGACGGCCGACTTATTTAAAAAAAAAAAAAAAAAGGACATTAAGAAAGAGGTCCCGAGGGAGCATTTATAGAGGATAATTTCCCCTGCACAGTCTACATCATCATTGAGCAACTCGATTCAACCAAGTGATTCCAACTGCCCTGTGATAAGACACGTTTGTGCAGGAAGTTAATCTCTACCTTAAAAATAGTAAATTTTTTAAAAATTAATTACCTGTCTAAAACATTCACAGCTTCATGGAGTCCATGAGCAAGACCATCAGCCTTAAGAACTTGCTTCAGCATTTCCTGGACTGAAGTATTCAAGTCCATGAGGCCACAGGAACACTAGCATCTCTGAAAATGAAAATGTTTCTGTACAGACTGAAAAATCTGTATGATTCCCTCCAAAATTGAAATATGCAGTATTCACCTGTAAATATATGTAATGAGCTGACATTCTTGAATGCAGCCATGCTTTTAACTAATACTATACCAAATTCTTAATAAAGTGTGATAAATTTCATGGCTGGCAGTAACAGCCTGGTTAATGAGGCCCCAGTCCACAGTAAGGCCTGGTCATGGACTGGGCTGTGAGGGTGCTGACCTTTCCCAAGTAGGTAGATTATACTAGGGGTATATCTTAAACATACTGACATACAGAACATTAAAAAGACTATTTTATCTTGGGTTAATCATTGTGCAGCTACCAAGATATATACAGAAACTGTACTGTACCATTTAAATCAGAAGCTATATTGAATAAATATCAAACACATGATTTGTTATACATAGCTTATGAAATCATAATACGTAACATAATTGCAAAAAACCACAGAATGGGTGGGTGTTTGAATCCATGGCAAGTGAGTCTTCAGAGGCACATGAGTTCCCCTGTCTTCTAATATCATGTTTATTTTTCCCCTATAATCTATCCTGTTCATCATTACTATCACATATGCTTTGTTTGCTTTCGTAAGGTGAAGTCTAGGATCTTTCCTTAACCCTTAAACTGTCCAAACGTTTTCTTCCCCAGCACTCCAAATATTTTGGAAATTTTTTTTTTTTTAATAAAGAGTGCATTTTTATAAATGTTATAGGATAAAATTTAGAGTCAGAACTTACCGAGATATAAGCCCACGAATTTGGCGCTAAATGATGAGGTGTCGGCAATATGGAGCACTGCCACTTGCAGGAATTATAAAGATTTATCGTTTTTTCCAATTCTTTTCTATTTTTTGTTGTTTTAATGTTATGATAATAATGTTTTTTTGCAGATCTTTTGATTTCATAGCCAATTCTTGTTTTCATAGCCAATTCTTGTTAAGACACAAATGTTTGGTACTGAATTAGTAATCACACTGTCACAAACACACATATTCACACTGATAAGATGAATTTGTACATCTGGTTCAATCACATACTATTGTTTACAAACATATACAAGGTATTTACAGGTCCCATTTATGTTTCTAGAAGTCCACCACTGTATGATACTCCATGAAGCATGGATTCATACAGAGTGCCACCCCACAATGCTGACATATGAATCGTGTCTCTTCACACTTGGGGTCACCTTGTAGTGTAAGCACACACAACACAATTCTTCTGCGAATACTTCTTCTTTGGGGTAGATGGTATCAGTGTCAGGCAGTGACAGTTAGGGATTACTTGGTTGGGCACTTTTCCCTCTGGTTGTGGGGTGACAGGTCACTGTTGGGGGGTGAAAGGTCACAGTTGTGGGGTGAAAGGTCGCTGTGGAGGGGCAGGTACAGGTGTGGTACCATACTTTTTCACTGTCTGCTTGATGACATTGAGGGTGAATTCCGCATATCATTGTCGCTTCCCAGTCTTCATTTCATACATGTTGAAGGCACTGAGCATTGCAATATCTACAAGGTGGAGAAAATACTTTCGTATAACACTCACAAACCCTACGCACACAGTCAACAAACCCTATTTGCATGTCACACTTGTCGGCAAGTCGTACATTGTTTGTCTAGTCCACGACAGCAGCTGGCTTTACAATACATGTTCACTGGTATCCCTGTTCACTTTGTCTGTTTGTATCTTCTCATTTCTGTAGATAGTTGACAGCAACATCATGATCTGTTTGTCATGCCACGTCAGTGCCATGAAGTCATTGGCATGAAACGCTTGCACTGCAGCATTAGCAATACTGCCAGTGAACCTTGGCATGTGTTTTCTATTTCCTCTCACTGTTCCACATACACCTACCATCCGACTTACGACCTGCTCGACGTACGACCACTTGACTTACGACCGTGTTTTTTATGCCAAATTTCTGGGAAATAAACAACTATTTGTGTTGTACACAGTGTTTATCCTCAACCTTACAGTATAAAATACAGTACTAACAACATTAAAAAGTAAAGTAAAACATGAAATACCAAAATAAAACAATAAAATAGTCATTACAAAAATGTTTTGTTGATATTCAGTAGTAAAGTTCGACTTACGACCATTTCGACTTACGACCGGTTTCTTGGAACCGAACTCGGTCGTAAGTCGGATGGTAGGCGTACATATGTTGATATTGTTCACACAGAGGAAATCAGCAAGCATAGGGCTTGTATGCCAGTTGTCTGTGAACAATGTATGAACCTTGCCAAGGTATGGCTCCATCATCTTGCAAACATCACCAGAAATGCCCAACATGGGCCTGGTATCATCGAGTGTATTCTTCCCTGTGTAGATTATGACATCCAACACAGTACCAGTCTCACATAACAGAGTTTTATACCAAAGCAATTATGTTTGCTTGGTATATATTGTTTGAATGGCAGCCGTCCCTTGAACAGAATCAAGGACTCATCGCCAACAATGTTCTTGAATGGATAAAAGTAGGCAGTGAATTTTTGCTTCACATACATAAACAATTCCCAGATTTTGTATAGCAGGTCATTTCTGTTGGACGTACAGTGGACCCCCGGTTAAGGAACTTTTTTCATTCCAGTAGTATGTTCAGGTGCCAGTACTGACCGAATTTTTTCCCATAAGGAATATTGTGAAGTAGATTAGTCCATTTCAGACTCCCAAACATACACGTACAAACGCACTTACATAAATACACTTACATAATTGGTCGCATTTGGAGGTGATCGTTAAGCGGGGGTCCACTGTATTCCTGTCCAAGAAGTGCAACATTTGTAGTAACAGAGTGAATCTGTTGCAGGGAAGGAGGTCCCATTCTCTCGTGTCTAAGCGACTCAGGCCTATTGTGCCAATTTTGAAGGAATGAAAAATAAAACATAGATCTACATTCGGAGCACTACCAGTGTAAATGTAGATCTACGTTTGGACAGTTTAAGGGTTAATTCATGGTATAACTTAACAAACCTTGTTTAAGGGTTAATTCATGGTATAACTTAACAAACCTTTGATGAAATTGTCAGCAAAGATTTGCTAAAGGAAAGATCCTAGACTTCACCTTATGAAAACAGACAAAGCAAATGCAATAGTAATGATGGACAAGGTACCTGAGGACATCTGGAGGTAGATTATAGGGGAAAAATAAACATATTAGAACAGAGGGAACTGAATTACCCCTTAAAACTCCAGGACAGCTGGTCCAGCAGCTCACTCACTGGCCTGGAGTTTTACGACTTGCTCACCATGGATTCAAACCCCACCCATTCCCTGAGTTATTATACATAGGGTTGAGAAGTCTAATAACATTTATTTGCAAACTTCAGATGAACAAATGAGATATCTGAGTACTTCAAAAACAGGACACTGACTCAATACCTAACTGGTTAAAAATTATCAACAATGTATACAAACCTAAATAAAAAGTTGCCTTTGCAAGACATTTGCCACAAATACTTCATGAGTTAAAATGACAAAAAATAGCCAAGCAGAAGCTAGTAATCATTCAGATCTTCCAGTAACATCTTTATTCAACAATACATTTATTATTATATTTAGGCTTAGTTTGGTTCCTAAGCTTGGGTATCTAACAACTTAAAAAAAATCACAATTTTTTTTAACATAAAATACCAACTAAATACATTAATAGAAAGTTATGACTGAATACTAGCTGCTGATGGTTCAGGCATGCATTGTAAGACAATCTCTCAAAAGTATTTATGTGCCTAATATCTCCCAAAATAATTCAGCATATGAATATGTAGCAGGCCTATTGGCTCAAGTTAGGCTGGTCCAACTCATATTCATCCATGTAATTGCCTTACCAATTCTTAAAGCTACCAAATGTTCATTTCAATGACACTGTTTGGTTAGATATTTTTAAGCACATTATTTGTATCACCTTTATGTGTGTCTTCCATTTCTACATCTCAATTCTATCCCCCCTAATTCTTTGCCTTTCTAGAGTGCACATTCAGTGCCCTCAGCCTATCCCCACTGGAAGGATTTCTGATATACAGTGGACCCCCGGTTCGTGATGCTATCGGTATCCGATAAATCCGGTAACCGATGCATTATAATCGCAAAAAATTTGCCTCGGTTCACGTTACAAAACCCGGTATGCGATGCGATTCGTATGAGATGTGTCAACGTGTGGCCTGAACTGCCCCGTGTGTGCCCGTGTTTACAAGCCAGCCAGTGTGCGCGCATCTAGGGATACATTCGGTACATTCCATATTATCCATATTATCACTTTTTTGTGCTTGTTTCTGCAAAATAAGTCACCATGGGCCCCAAGAAAGCTTCTAGTGCCAACCCTTCGAGACCAAGGGTGTTAATGACTATTGAAATGAAGAAAGAGATAATTGCAAAGTATGAAAGTGGAGTGCGTGTGTTGGAGCTGGTCAGGTTGTACAGTAAACCCCAATCAACCATCTCTACTATAGTGAGCAGGAAAACATCAATCAAGGAAGCTGTTCTTGCAAAAGGTGCAACTGCGATTACAAAACAGCGACCACAAGTGTTAGAAAATGCTGAGAGACTGTTATTGGTGTGGATAAATGAAAAACAGATAGCAGGAGATAGCATCTCTCAAGCGATCATTTGTGAAAAGGCTAGGCAGTTGCATGACGATTTGGTAAAGAAATTGCCTGCAACTAGTGGTGATGTGAGCGAATTTAAGGCCAGCAGAGGTTGGTTTGAAAGATTTAGGAATCGTAGTGGCATACATAGCGTGATTAGGCATGATGAGGCTGCCAGTTCAGACCACAAAGCGGCTGAAAAATATGTGCATGAATTCAAGGAGTACATTGGGGGTGAAGGATTGAAACCTGAACAAGTGTTTAATTAAGTGTTTAATTGTGTGTGCTGTAGAGGGCAAACACTAAGGCATGGGCCACTAGGGACTTTTTCTATGACTGGTTACACCATGCATTTTCCCCCAATGTGTAAAATTACCTAATTGAAAAGAAATTAGACCTTAAGTGCTTCCTGGTATTAGACAATACCCTGGTCATCCTACAGACTTGGCAGAGCGACTTTCTGGTGACATGAGCTTCATTAAGGTCAAGTTTTTGCCTCCTAATACCACTCCTCTCCTGCAGCCCATGGACCAGCAGGTCATTTCCAACTTCAAGAAACTGTACACAAAAGCTATGTTTGAAAGGTGCTTTGAAGTGACCACAGATACTCTATTGACTCTAAAAGAGTTTTGGAAGGATCACTTTAATATTCTCAATTGTGTAAACCTTATAGGTAAGGCTTGGGAGTGACTAAGAGGACCTTGAACTCTGCCTGGAAAAAACTGTGGCCAGAATGTGTAGACAAAAGGGATTTCGAAGGGTTTAAGGCTAACCCTGAGAAGCCTATGCCAGTTGAGGAATCCACTGTGGCATTGGGGAAGTCCTTGGGGTTGGAGGTTAGTGGGGAGGATGTGGAAGAGTTGACGGAGGAGGACAATGACGAACTAACCACTGATGAGCTGCTAGATCATCTTCAACAGCAAGAGGCCACACCTGAGGAAACTGCTCCGGAGAAGGGGATAGAGAAATTGAAGAAGTTGTCTACTTCAAAGATTAAGGAAATGTGTGCAATGTGGCTTAGAGTGCAAACCTTTTATGATGAAAATCACCCTCAGACAGCTACCGCAAGCTGTGTTGGCAACCTGTACAATGACACTGTTGTGAATCACTTTAGGAAAGTCATAAAGGAATGAGAGGTACAGGCCTCTATGGACAGATATGTTATGCGACACAAGTCCAGTGACTCTCAACCTGGTCCTAGTGGCATTAAAAGAAGAGGGGAAGTAACCCCAGAAAAGGACTTGCTACCTCAAGTCCTAATGGAGGGGGATTCGCCTTCTAAACGCTAACACCATCCACACTCTCCCCTCCTCCCATCCCATCAATCATCACCAGATCTTCATTAAAGGTAAGTGTCAATTATTCTATTGTTATTATTCTATTGTTATTGTTGTTACTGTAATTATTCTATTGCATTAAACTTAATATTTCATGTGGTAAAAGTTTTTTTTTCATACTTTTAGGTGTCTTGCACGGATTAATTTGATTTCCATTATTTCTTATGGGGAAAATTGATTCGCTTTCCGATAATTTTGGTTTACGATGAGCTCTCAGGAACGGATTAATATCGCGAACCGGAGGTCCACTGTATAGGATCAGCTTTGTCATCCGTCTGTGCTTTCCAACACATTTATATCCATTTTGTAATACAGAGACCAGAACTGCACAGCATAATCTAAATGGGGCCTTACCAAGGATATACAAAGTTGAAGAATAACCTAAGGATATAGCATATATACTTCTTGATATGAAAGCCAAGAATTCTACTAACTTTATTGCAAACACCTGCGCACTACTGTTTTAGCTTTAGGTTACTGCTAACCAGAGCTCTTAAATATTTTTCACATTCAGAGTGAGATCTACATTACTCAGTTTGCAAATGGGATTGTTATTCTCCTTTCCAAGACTTAGAACCATGTATTTGTCTACAGTAAACTGCATCTGCCATTTCTCCGACCACTGCGCAGACTATCCAGAACTTTCTGTTCTGCTCTAGTGTCTTCATCAGATGTAAATGACTGCCCATTTTAGTGCCATAGGTAGATTTGTTTGACACTTATTCCCCCATCTATCACTGGTAAGTGATAATTTTATTTCTTTGCAACATTCAAGGAATGCAGTAGGATACATGAAATTAGGCCAAAAGTAGACACAAAGAAAGCCACTAAATATGCAATGTATTTTAGGCAACTAATCATAAGACTTGCATGTTGCTTAAAAACTAGACACAGCATATGTACAACTTCCTGTGCAGTTAATTACAATCCTAAGTATAATAAGAAAGTTTGCAAATGACAAATGGTCAACTACAAAAGAATTACTTTTGGCTTGATGATCAATATGGACAGACTGAATAGTGGTGGTGAAAATACAGCAAGCTTATCAGAGTGGTATGTTACTTAAATTACAAAACAAATACAATGGGATAACATTGGTACTAATAATTATATGGGGGTTAACCCTTGACTGTCGCAGGCCCCTTTCTGAAATTGTCATTCTATGTCACCAAATATTCGAAAAAAAAAATTATTTTTTCTTGTGAAAATGTTAAGAATATTTTTCTTGAGTGTTTTAAGACTAAAAAAAACTTTTTGCCATCAGTACTTACTGAGATATAGAGCCGCAAAGTTTGCAGAAAGTGATGTGCGTACGGCAACAGCGGCGACTGCTGCCCACCCAGTATTCTTTTATTTACTCTAATTCAAAGGTTTCTTGCATTTTTCAATATTTTTATTTTCCAAGTAACTTATGTGGCCTGTGGGACCAATGTAAGGTGCATTGTTCAAATATACACTCATTATTTACAACACAATAAGAGAACAAACTTTATCACTATTAGTTTGTGTATACACTTTGTTTATACAAACAATACAAAACAATGTTTATTACTATTGTTCCATAATATATATACATATGTACAGTCACTAAACACGTTCCTAGAACTGCTGCAGCTTGTGGAACTCTCTGAAACATGGGTATATGCAGAGGGGCACTTGACACTCCTCACACATAAAACGAGTGTCTCTGCGTGTTTGTGGGCATTTTGTGGTATGTGTACATACATAACACCTCTTCTGAGCATTTTTCTTGGCAGTAGTAGGAGGCAGTTGTATGGGGTAGTGATCACCAGGCCTGAAACGAGATAACATGTGTGGGTAATTTCATGGGCGCTGGTCTATTGCAGGTGTTGCTCCTTGGCGCTTTGCGATTATTTGTCTGATTACTGACAAACAAAATTCACCATATTTTGGTGTTTTGTTGGTCTTCAACTTGTACATGTTATAAGCATTTAGCATAGAGATATCAACAAGATGGAAAAAAAGTTTTATATACCACTTATAACTCTTGCGTACACAGTCTGCAAACCCAATCTGCATGTCACATTTGTCCACTAAGCGCATATTGAGGTTGTAGTCCATGACAGCTGCAGGCTTTAGAATGGGTTCATTGGTCTCTCTGTTGTGCCTGCCACTGTGTGCCATTTCGTTTCGGTGAACTGAT